TTACAACATGAGMTGACTGAGAYCCAGAAGACTTCTGGTTTTTCTTTAGCAATTTCTGGCAAGTCCTTTTAGTGTGTCCTGGTTCATGACAATAGTAGCAAACTACTCCCCTTGTGGCCTGAGTTTCAGCATTCCAACCACTATTACTGCCACCTCTGCTACTTTTCTGAGAACGAGACCGGACAGTTGATCCACTATTCTGACTGACAAGTGCACTAGGTTGTTGTATAGGTGAGGTATAGGAACCAGTATCTGTACGAAGGACCCTAGTAAAGACCTCTTTTAAAGAGGTAATCTCAGGATTAGACAGAATCTGTGACTTAGCACCATCAAATTGAGGATTAAGGCCAGCCAGAAAACTCATAATAGCCATCTGTTCACGTTGAGTCTGCTGAACTTTGATATCAGTACTGAAAGGTAACAAGGCGTTCAATTCCTCATAAGTGTGTTTGAAATTCATGAAATAGGTCTGAAGAGACCGATCCTGTTGTTCAGCCCGATAAAATGTCTTGCAAACATAAAAAATACGGGAAAYATTTTCTTTACCAGAGAACAGAAAAGCCAAATATTCCATTAGTTCTTTTACAAACTCACAATGAGAGACATGACCGACGTACTCATTCTCAATAGAATTACAGATTTGCAAAAACAATTGAGCGTCAATCCTTAGCCATTCAGTGCGGTTGTCATCAGTAGGAGGGTCCTTAGTTAGATGGTTGTCCTTAGAGATACTCCATAAATACAAACGAAGATTCTTATTCCAGTCTAAATAATTAGTTCCGTTTAATTTTTGTTCAGTGATCTTAGACAGAATGGGAATAACACTAGGCATAGCCAAGTTCTTTTGTTCAACCGCCATCATAAACACAGGAAAATAAACTTTTAACAACCAGCAAAGCCAATAAAACACACTTAAACAGAATCGGCAGCAGATGCAACACCCAAACAGCAAGAAACCACAACTGGCAGCACCRAAATATCAACTGTATAAAAAGAACAGAGAAGAAAGACTTTCCTGATGGGCAAACAAACACCACAGGAGTAACACCGAAGTTGCTGTGCTACTCTCTGACCTGTTGTAGACTTGAAAGCCCTCTCCCAATCGAAATGAAGAAGAGATGGGTGAAGGTGGGTAGGCCGATCTGGGATTCCACTTCCACTGGTAGGGGCGGTGAGATGCAGATGTCACTCGGAATGGGTGACCTAGAGATCACAGCTGCTGCTCACTTGGGCAACGTAAAGAATTCAAAGCTGCTCAATTGGGCAGTAGAGGGAAGAAAACCAGAAATTAGTTTCAGACTCGAATTGGTGTCTCCAGCTCTGATACCATGTGATAGAACAAGAATTGGAAGAAATTGATGTCTTTCTATTGAGAAAGTAGTACATATATATACAGCCTTGTAGATACTAAAAAGGAAGAAAATCATACAGCCTTGCAGATACAAAAAATGAAGAAAATCATACAGCCTTGTAGATACTAAAATAGGAAGAAAATCAAAGAAAGAATAATTCCTATAATCAAGCTATTCCTAATTGGGCTAATACTACATATTTACAGCTTATAATTTCGTAACAATGTACTATGTACTAAGTAGGGTATTTGAATTGTAGGGTGGAGGGCCTGTTGCTGATCATGATCCTACTCAGACTGCAAGAAGGAAAGTCTTGCCACCTAGGAGAGGGGCTATTTCTACACAAGTTGTTGCTAGCTCATAATGCCCCATTACACTCCAACAATTTATCAAGTTGGGTCATCATCAAGAGCAGCAGGTGGTAGTGCAAGTGGAATGTCTAATAGGGGTGGTAGAACAAGGGGGAGGGGGGGGGGGTTGTTAGGGGAGGTATAGGTGGTATAGCTGATATGGGGAACTTCCAACATCTAGACATTGCTTCACTAGGAAGATAGGTGATGACATTTTTGTTATCATAACAATTTAGTATTTCTCATAACAGTTTAGTATGTCAGTTGAAGTTTGTACTGACTTTCATTCTAATTGGTGTGTGTAGGCAGAGGAACTGAGTAGTCAGGATTTGAGATACTCCCAACCATGAGAGGGCCCATATAATGACATGGGTTATTTCAGACATATAACATTCAGTTGTATTATTTTTTGAACTTTGATATATTTTGACACATAGAACTTGTTAGTGATTATATTTTGAACTTTTAGTTGCTAGTGATTATAGGATAAGTACTTGTTAATAAATACTTATCCTACCAAGTGCTTAAGTGTTTGGTGAAAAAAAATGGTTCTTTTATGTTTGCTTCAGGAAACATATAGCTTCCTACTTATTGGAGCTGGTTTAAATTTATAATTCATTGGAATTCCTTAGATTTAATGCATATGGATCTTGTTAAAATGATGTAAGAGACAACACAACAGCTTCTGCATATCATCTTGTTGGGTTTGATGCAAGTGTTTGAAACTATCCTAGTGTGTCAATTGATACAGTATAGGGTGAAGTAAACAATTGATACAGTATAGGGTGTTCTCTTGTTGCTTTAAACTTGATCCAAGAAGAGAATGATAGGGTTTGAGCATGGCTTCTATTTGGGGGTACATGATAAATAAGGAAAAACAGAGCATAGAACCAGTACAAAACTAGCTAGTATAGACTAGTTCAGATGGTGGTTGTAGGGCCTTCATTTTGTAGTTGAGATTAATTGCATGTGTGTGTGTGTGTGTGTGTGGGGGGGGGGCATTTCGTCGAACAGATGACAGTCAATGATTGCATCTATTCGAAATCCCACTGTCGTTCTCCTCTCTCCTCCCCCACACCTAGTAGCAGTGGTGCAGTGCATTGGGGTCACCGCCATTATCCTCCCCCACACCGCAGTTCCAAAACATCACGGATTTTAAAACCCTCTTGGGGTTACCAACAACGGTGCCGGCGCTGCCGACACTGCAAGTTAAAACAGGTTTCAAAACCCTCCTTGGGGTCACCGTTCTATAAGAGGACTTCGGTGACAAGCCCTACTCTAAGAAAACGTCCACCGCACCGACGATGCTGATGCTGACAATCAATGGTCCAGTGCCGATGACTAGCAACAGGACGCCAGTGAGCCTTACACCGCAATCAATGGTTCAGTGCTGACATAGCCAGCGAGCCCAAACTAAAACCAAAAGGGTATTTTTTACCGTAAAAGGGTAGTTTGGGAATTATGGAAAATTATCAATCACGTGGTGTCACATGCAAACAGGACTTGACGGTCGAGTAACGGCAAGGGAGGATTTGGACAATTGTCAGAAAACTTAAGGGTACCACAAGACAATAGCTAAACAGTAGGAGTACCGCGTGTCATTACGCTAAACAATAGGGACAGTTTAAGAGATTTACCCAATTTAAAATTTAAAAAGTAGAAAAGTATGTTGAAGAGATGTATTGTATCAAAATATAGTGTGGAAATGTTGTGGATAGGCCACATTCATGAGATGCATGCGTGGCCAAGATTTTGGACTACGGACGGGGATAGTCCACAATATATTATGGACCAGTCCTGTCCATGACCAACTGGATAGTCCTATCCATGACCAACTGTCCAGTCCTGTTAGAGAGGACGGTTGGAGATGACACAATATCTTGATTTCACCATCGTGGCTGTTAGAGAGGACGATAATCAGGTAAGCTTGCTATCGCCCCCCAATGGATAGTGTTCTTTAATTTATTATTATTTTTTTTTTGTGTTTATTGCTTATCCTATATTTAGCCACTATTGTGACTTGAGAGAGAGTAGGAGAGCTGATGGAGCTGGTTCTCCACATCAACCTATGCCTGTCATTGTTTTCTTTGATAATTGTATAGATTTGGGTTCTAAAATCTCAACTGTTTAAACATTGAATCATGTTGTTATTCATTATTTTCCCATTTTTTAATTGATTTCTTTTTTTTTTTGTTCCAATGATTGTCGGGGTTAATTGTATAGATTTGGATTCCAATGATTGCTAGATTCTAAAATCCCAACTGTGTATAGTTGAATTTCAAATTATAAAGTTTTGATTGTTGGATTCTAAAGTTTCGATTATAATTGGATTGAGGGCGTCCTTTCTCTTTCTTCCATTGAATTGTCCAAATATCTCTGGAAGAGTACTTTGTTTTATTTTCTAAAGTTCTGATTAGGTGGTTCATAAACCTGGATCTGATTCAGGTAAGATTCAGTTTGCCAAGTCCACATATTTCACTCACACAAGTTCTGGAGTCAGATTTTGGTTTTACCATCTCAAACTGGGAGAAGCAATGTGATGGGGATCGGTCTATGCATTATAAGGCCTATTCTTGTAAGAAGGCCAACAAACAGGTTCTGATTTGGCATGGAGAAGACTCTTGGGACTTGGATTGATCTGGTCTGGGATATTTTTATCATTTTGACCAGCCCAATGTGGACTTGGGCTATAGAATTTTGTTCCTATAGCTTAGTAGTGCTTGTCTTTCAATTTTCAGTTTATTTGCATTAGTAGATAGAAAGTTATTGTGTTTCTTGTTGCACAAGACAAAGAGTGGCACTTTTTGTAATTATGGTGAACATTGTTCTGGGCCACACAAGTCACTCTATAAATAGATGTATTCTCTTCCTTTTGAGGCTAATGAATGAATGAAGATTTCTTAAGAGCTCTCTTGCTGTATGGAGTGATTCCTACAAACCCTAGAGTGATTTTAGGACCCCTTGGAGTGATTCCTTGGGATTTCTCTATTTTTTCTCTTTCTGTCTTGTGTTAGTTTGTTCCAACCCTACTGCATCAGTTTTGGTATCAGAGCATCATGATTCAAATGGCCCATTACCATGGTAGAAACATGAGAGGAAGATTAAGTGAACAAGCTAAAGAAGAGTTGTTGCTTGCACTTATTAATCGAGTGGACATCCTAGAAGCTCAAGTCAAAGTGTTGATGGAAGAACAAGAGAAAAAAAAAGCACTAATGTTCCACATGGAGGAACTGAAGCAAAGGGTTCTAACACCAATAACCCTACTGGTCCACATGTGAACCACCTACTAAGGAATGCCATGAAGCCCCTAAGGTCTCGAACTCTACAAACTCAAGGTACTTTAAATGATTTATATGATGAGTTGGTGGAGCATTCTAAGACTAATATAGATGACTATCGGGATGATATTACTAGTAAAGTGAAGATAGTTCCTAGTTTTAGAGGTGACATCAATCCACAAGTTTTCTCCAATTGGTTAGTAGAACTAGAGGAATACTTTGATTGGTTTGATATGTCAGATGAAAGATGGGTTAGATTTGCTAAACTTAAACTTGTAGACCATGCAAAAGTATGGTGGAGGAGTGTGGAGAATAGATTACAGAATATGGGTAAGAGTTCTATCACCCGTTGGGAAGATATGAAGCATTTCTTGGAAGAGAAATATTTGCCTAATGACTTCCAATATGCTCTTCATGATGAGATGATGACATTGAGGCAATGCAGCTTATCTATGTCTGAGTACATGCAGAAGTTTGATGAGCTTACTATTAGATGTCAGTCTACAGAAAGTGAGAAGAAAAAATTAGCCCGATTTCGGAATGGTTTAAGGGTTGATATTCAAAGGAAAATGATGACTGCACAATTTTATGATGTAGATGATGTTTTTCAGATGGCTCTTGAAGTGAATAGTAGGAGGTTTGGTATTCAAGCTGGGGAGGCAGTAGCACGTAAAAGTTTAGATGAGGGTAGAGTCACTAGACCTACATCATCTCATAATGTGGTTCCAGTAAGGTCTAATGGTTCCAAGTATCAGGGTGCTGATAACAAGGGGAAGAACATCATGATTGATGCTAATAAAAGGGGAACAATAGAAAATACTTGTTTCAAGTGTGGTGGAAAGGGCCACTATGCATTTCAATGCCCTAATAAAAGTCTACAGATAGGGTGTGAGAAGGAAGGACAAGTGGAAGATGATGAAGGAGGCATTGGTGAAGAGGGGTACATTGGGTCTGAACATGAAGAAGAAGATGACAGCAATCTTGTTGGAGTGTTAGACGCATTTTAGCATCCTCTAAAGAAGAAAAGAAAGAAGATTGGCTTCATACAGCGATCTTCCTCACCTTTGTCAAGAGCAGAGACAAGCTTTGCAAGCTAATAATTGATGGTGGTAATAGCATGAATGTGGTTTCTGCAGCAACTGTTGAAAGGCTCAATCTAGTTGCATAACCTCATCCTGAACCATACAAGATTGCTTGGTTAAACAAGATGACACTTCAGGTAGAACAAAGAACTCTTGTTTCTATTTCCTATGGGTCTTATGTTGATGATATTTGGTGTGATGTTGTTCCTATGAATGTTACACATATTTTATTAGGCCGACCATGGCTTTACAATAGGGATGTATACCATTGTGGAAAAGAGAATACATATTACTTTCTATTTAATGGGAAGAGAATTGTTATCAAACCTATGTCACCTGATGAGATCAAGAAGCGAACTAAGACCCCTCAAAAGAGAGCTCCAGCCCAAAAACCAGTAGTTGAACAAAAGAAGCAACCTTTCTTGTTGTCCAAGAAGCAATTTGAGGAGGAAAGCAAAGAATTAGGCCTTGTTTATGCCCTAATAGTGAAAGAAGTGAATAAACCAGCACATGCCCCTATTTCAAAGGTGCCAAAAGAGGTTGAAGACTTGCTGGCTGATTTTTCAGGTTTGATCCCAAAAGAGTTGTCTAATGAATTACCACCTCTACGTGATGTCCAACATGCAATAGACTTGATTCTCGAGTCTCAACTACCTAATTTGCCTGCACACCAGATTAATCCCATAGAACATGCTGAGTTGAAGAGGCAAGTGGATGATCTATTGAAGAAGGGCTTCATTAGAGAGAGTCTCAGCCCATGTGTTGTACCGGCTCTACTCACTCCTAAGAAGGATGGCTCATGGAGGATGTGCGTTGATAGCAGAGCGATCAATAAGATTACAATCAAGTGTCGGTTTCCTATTCCACGCTTAGATGACATGCTGGATATGATGAGCGGAGCTACAATATTCTCTAAGATTGATCTTAGAAGCGGATATCACCAAATTAAGATTCGACTTGGAGATGAATAGAAAACCGCTTTTAAGACAAAGAATGGCCTCTATGAGTGGTTGGTTATGCCTTTTGGCTTAACTAATACTCCTAGCACTTTCATGAGAGTTATGATTCAGGTATTTCATCCTTTTATTAGTCGTTTCTTGGTTGTTTACTTTGATGACATTCTTATATACAGTCATACTCCTGATGATCATCTTGACCATTTACATCAAGTGATGAGAGTTTTACGCCAGGAAAAGCTCTACATCAACTTAAAGAAGTGCTTGACACCTACTGTTATCGTTTTAGGATTTGTAATATCCTCTAAAGGTGTCAAGGCTGATCCTGACAAAGTGAAAGCTACACTTGATTGGCCCATTCCCACTAACATCCATGAAGTGAGAAGCTTTCATGGATTGGCTACTTTCTATAGGCGTTTCATAAGGAATTTCAGCACTATTATGGCACCAATTACAGAAGCTATGAAAAAGGGGGAATTTGTTTGGTCTAAGGCTGCAACTAAAGCCTTTGAGACTATCAAGCAATGACTAAGACCCCAGTGTTACATTTGCCCAACTTTTCAAAAATCTTTGAGGTGTTTTGTGATGCTTCCCAAGTTGGAATAGGTGGTGTGCTTATGCAAGAAGGACATCCTATAGCTTTTCACAGTGAAAAACTTAATGAAGCTAGACAAAAGTACTGTACATATGACAAAGAATTCTATGTTGTTGTGCAATGTCTTCGACATTGGCGTCATTATTTAATTTCCCAAGAGTTTGTTTTATATTCAAATCACGAGGCACTCAAATATCTCAAATCTCAGAAGCATCTTAGTAGTTGACATCAGAAATGGGTTGAATTTTTAGCAGAATATAACTTTGTCATTAAGCATATAGCTGGTGCCGAGAACCGAGTAGCCGATGCATTGAGCCGAGTGGTGTATATACTTCATTCTATGTCTGTACAGGTTGTGGGGTTCGATCATTTGAAGAAAGATTATGATGGTTGCAAGGATTTCAACATCATTTATAGTTCTTTACAAGCTGGACAGCACAACAATCTGAATATCCTGGCTTTTCTATCCATGATGGTTATTTGTTCAAAGGAACTTGCTTGTGTGTTCCTAACACTTCACTACGTGATTATGTTATATGAGAGTTACATGCAGGTGGAATTGCTGGGCATTTTGGTCGGGACAAGACCATTGCTATGGTAGAAGATCGCTTTTATTGGCCTAGCCTTAAGGTTGATGTTAATCATGTGATCAAACAGTGCAGAATTTGTCAATTGGCAAAAGGGAGAAAGAAAAATATAGGGTTGTACACTCCTTTACCAATTCCACATGAGCCTTGGCAAGATCTCTCTATGGATTTTGTCCTAGGTCTGCCCAAGACAATAAAGGGTCATGATTCAATTTATGTTGTGGTAGACAGGTTCTCAAAAATGATCCACTTTATTCCTTGCAATAAGACATCAGATGCCTTACATGTGGCAAGTCTATTCTTTAGGAAAATTGTTCGTTTACATGGTGTTCCTATTACTATTGTTTCTGATCGTGATGCTAAGTTTATGAGTTACTTTTGGAAGACACTTTGAAAACTCCTCAATACAAAGTTGAAGTTCTCATCTTCTTTCCATCCTCAGACTGATGGCCAAACTGAGATAGTTAATAGGAGCCTCGGTGATTTGCTACGTTACTTAGTTGGTGACCATACTTCCAGGTGGGATCTCATCCTACCTATGGCTGAATTTGCTTACAATAGTTCAAGTTAACAGGTCAACTAGAAGAAGTCCCTTTGAGATAGTTACTGGAATTCAGCCTAAGAGGCTTATTGATTTAGTGTCTTTGCCACAAGAAGCCAGGACTAGCATAGAGGATGAAGGCTTTGCTTGCCACATGAGAGAAATCCATGATAAAGTTAGACGCAAGATTGCTCTTAGCAATGATGCATACGAAGCCAAAGTTGATTTACATAGGTGCCTAGCTGATTTTCAAGAGGGTGATATGGTTATGGTGCGTATACGTCCTAGACGCTTTCCTAAGGGCTTTTATAAGAAGCTTCACTCCAAGAGTGCAGGTCCATATAAGATCACTAAGAAAATCAGTTCTAATGCTTATGTTCTAGAGCTGCCAAGCAAAATGGGAATTAGCCCAATCTTTAATGTTGAAGACCTAAGTGCATATCATGGCCATAGTAATTGTCCCATAGTCCCATTGCCTAAGCTACCTTAGGTTCCACCTACTAATGTGCCTGAAGACATCCTTGATGAGAAGTTGATTTCTACAGTAAGTGGGGGTTATCAAAAGTTTCTTGTAAAGTGGAAGAATCTACCTCTTTCAGAATGTTCATGGATTACAGCTGAAGATTTGTATCATCTTAATCCATAACTTTATGAGCAATATCATGCCTTTAACTCGCTAGGGTCGAGTTCTTTCAAGCCGGGGAGAGATGATGGGGACCGGTCTATGCATTATAAGGCCTATTCTCGTAAGAAGGCCAACAAACAGGTTCTGATTTGGCATGGAGAAGACTCTTGGGACTTGGACTGATCTGGTCAGGCGTATTTTCTTCATTTTGACCATCCCAATGTGGACTTGGGCTATAGCATCTTGTTCCTATATCTTAGTAGTGCTTGTCTTTCAATTTTTAGTTTATTTGCATTAGTAGATAGAAAGTTATTGTGTTTCTTGTTGCACAAGACAAAGAGTGGCACTTTTTGTAATTATGGTGAACAGTGTTCCGAGCCACACAAGTCACTCTATAAACAGATGTATTCTCTTCCTTTTGAGGCTAATGAATGAATGAAGATTTCTTAAGACCTCTCTTGCTGTATGGAGTGATTCCTACAAACCCTAGAATGATTTTAGGACCCCTTGGAGTGATTCCTTGGGATTTCTCTCTTTTTTCTCTTTCTCTACCCTTTCTACAAACCCTAGAGTGATTCTAGGACCCCTTGGAGTGATCCAGCCCTACTGCATCACAGTGCTAATGATTGAATTGGACAATACACAACTCATCTAAAACCAAATTGATTTGAGCCTCAGATTTTTATCATGATATCCATTGCACTTAGTTTATCAATCAAATTGGCTGTTTTGGTCATGTGCTTTTTAAGCTCATGTATTGTGTCTTACTCTTTAATTAGGAATAGGGGCTGTAGTTGTTTGGTATACTGAGTCACCACCATACATACTCCTTCAAATACTCTCTCTCTCTCTCTGCGCCTGCAGTACCAATGGAACATTCAAACACCCTTCTTATCAGGGGGCCTTGGTCTAGGAGTGTGGATCATATCTGCTGTACAAACAATCAGATCCGGACATGTATTACATTGAGGACACATGTGTGGCCTGGGCTGAGCTCTGTGAATGAGATTGGAGGGCATTTAGTAGGTCCTTTCCACATGTGTTTTGGAAACTTCAAAGGTAAATACTAAATAATATTATTTTTGAATATGGTAGAAACTTGATTCTTCAAATTAAAGGGTTATTACTTATTAGCTAGGAATAATTAGATGACCCTATGCCACATTTAACCAATCTCTCTCTTCTTCCTCTACATGCAAGTAGTTGTACGACTAAGGTACTAAGCTAGCTAGAATCGATCATATACAACCTTTATCTTTAAAGGATCATTAATTGAACTGGCACCGTTTCATCTGTTCTTTATTGATCAATTTATTCAAAAGTCCTACATATATATACAGGGTCCTTTGGAAGCATATGATCAGCAGAGAGATGGGTAATGGTGTTCTTCTCCCCCCTGCTTTCTCATTGACCTTTGTAAACTCTTAACAATTTTTTTTTTTTTTTGAAGCTCAATCAATGCATGCATCTTCTTTACCAAAAAATCAAGGATGGGTAGAAAGGTAATTTTGCATATTCAGTTTGTCAATTTTCCAGACTGTCTTGTAACTAGGGGACCCTTGGAGGCACTTAAAAGTTAGAAGAAACTTTTAAAGGTTGCAGATAAAGTCAAGAAAGACTT